ATAATCTTTTGAAGAAGAGCAAGTGGAGGCATAATCATATTAAAGATTATCATAGCTGGAAGTATAAAGAAAAACTTAATAACATAAAAAAGGAAAAACAGGCAAATAGAGATGCACCTGATATGGATCAAAGCTGTCACTTTCAGATACATTAAGAAATGTTGCAAGACAGACAAGCTACAAAAGAAAAGGCATGGATGAGTAGCCATGACAAGGGGCAACAAAAAGCAGGAGCTAGATGTGGAAGACCAAAACTAAATTTTAATGGGAAAAATAATGGACCGCCAATCAATTAGCATGAACTAAATGACCCACCTTTACTAAAGCTGTTATAAGATAAACAACAGCTGCTTTAATTGAGGTTCCAAGTGTATCATACTCAGATCTGTGGAAGAAAACTAGTCCTTGTAATAGCCATCTCGTGTCTTAAAATGTAATCCATAATGAACTAAACCAGCAAGTCAAAAAATAGATACCTAAATTATTAAATAAGTTAAATAAATCGAAAATTTGGCTGTCAGTGATAACACATGATCTAACCAAATATACTGATCATAAGTATTGTAATGGAAAATTGAAAATTGATCCCAGAACTCAACAATCTAATAAATTTGGCTAGAAATTTACTTAATAAAAGTCAATTAACAATTATGTTTGGGTTACGAAAACCAAAAAAGTAATTGATGTTATCTTCAATTATAATGACAACGATAAGCACAGTTATCACAATAAATTCTTTCTTCCAATTGTTCACCTAATATAACAATAAGCACATTATACATGTCAACAATAACCGAATATACCTATATTTACCTTATGTATATACAATTACTCAATCATATGGCATATAAGTAGAATTGAGATGAAAAATATCTCAAAGAATACGAGAATCAAAACTCAATTTCATTCAACATAGTCCTAGATCCATTCATTATAACAAAGAGATCTAGTGATGAATATAACAGAACTAAAAAATACAATAGAAAAATGTAAGAAAAAAGTCTGATTATTACAAGGGGGTGGCCGAGTAGTAAACGGCGTGAGGGCCGAAGGTCAGAATTGCACAGTTGAAGAAGTGAAACATCGTCATTTTTAGAGAGAGAGAGAGAGATTTGCAGAGTGGTGAACTTCGGAGTCTCGTTCTTCTTGTTTTTACAACTCTAGACTGAAATGTTGAGATGGACTTCGTTCATAACGAAACAACTGACGAAAGTAACACTACAAGAGGCTACATAATGATGTTCGACTAACCCTTTTTTTTTTTTTTTTGTCATGTTCGACTATCTTTTTGTAGAGACTAAAAATAAATCTTCTAAATTTTATTTTTCATTTTAATCCTAGTAATAAATCATTTTTATTTTCTCCTTCATTCCTATTTTTACCATTTCAGGTTCTCCATTTTCCTTTAAGGGTCTATTTGATTATAACGATGAAATTTGAGTGGAAAGAAAACGAATTTCAGGGAATTGATTGATATAATTTTTCACGTGAGAAAT